TTTGTGATTACTTGGTTTTCATGTTAGAGTCTGTCAGCACATTGATTGTTTTTACTGTCCAGCCTCCTGCTTTTGAAGAGCTGCTCTAGTTAATTTCAATGATACACTATACAGTAATCTTGCCTATTTAAATAAATGTACTTCAGTACTTTCAACAAAAGGATGTTACGATCCTCCCATGCATTGTCAGGGTCCTGGGACACTGTAGCTCATGAATAACACAGATGGAGGAAGGTTTATAGAGTCTGTGGCAGTGGTTTTATTTCATATCCAAAGTGTGAAAAGTTTCTTCCAAAGAACAACATTATATGATACTTTTAAAATAGGTAGGCCTGTTTGGCCTTGGAAATAATTGTGCAGGTGCTGTAGGACTTTGTGATGGAGCCCTTTGCAGGGAAAACTGGAGTGTTGCAGAGACTGTGTGCTAACCCAAAAAGCCAAATTAAAAACGTATGCAGCCACACTGCAGCATGTGGGTGGCTTTTAGGCAAGTGCAGAGTGTTGTTAAATGTCAAAATCAAATATAGGCATGGGGAAAACTGATGTGTGAATGGAAAGATTGATCACATGCTTGTCCTGCCGTTTAAATGTGTGGTAGGCTCCTCTGAAATTCAAAGTCTGCCTAGCAGCAAGCCAGCTCGTAGAGAAATACAAATCTGATTTTAAGTCTTCACACATTTCTAAAATCTGGCCTTTCTGCAGGTCTGAAAAATGAAGTTTGCATTTACAATTTATTAACAGTTGCCTTTGCATTTTCACGTTGAGGCTGTGGGCTTGCTGTCTACTCATTCACCCTGATGATGTTGCCTATAAAACCTGACAACTGGCAACTTAAGTAATGAGTATTAACTTCAAATCATAGCCTTGACATATAAGAAATCCCTGTACTATAGATTTGAAAACTGAGGTACAGAGGTTAAATATTTGCTCAGTGTCCTTTGAAAAGCTGTAGCATAGACAGAATTTGATCTTTGCTCTGAAAAACCTCAGCCTAGTACTTTATAGTGACCTTTTTATAATCTTTTAGGTAGGATGCCAAAAATTCATGCAATGCTCCTGCTCCCTCTTCATTTGAAGAACGAAATATTAAGTAAACAATAATGATTTAGCCTGCCTAACCTGAAACAACCCTGTAACCCTGAGATTTTATTGTGTAAGATGAAGACTTGGTTGATTTAAAACAGTTCCTGATACATGATGACCTAGTCCTTATCTACTGTCTAGCTCACCATATGCAGAATACTCTTTTTACCAGTTTAAAAAAGCACAACACTATTTCAAGTCAGGCAAATGACTGCATTGGGTATTGGCCAAAACAACAGATAAAATCAGGTTAAAAAACACCCCAAACCCCAGGTACTTTTGGTGGATTAATGCGGGAGAAATAAGCCTAAAACTTCCTAAAGTAAATGAAAACATGATGCTTCATGTTCTTTAATCCTCCCTCCTCCCCTTGTCCCTTTGTGCAGCTATTTTATCCATTCCATCCAGCCCTGAATGCTTTTGCCAGTTGCATCACCTTTTAATGTTCCTTCTGTTCATCTGCAGCTACTTTGGAGCTGTAGCTCCTTTTATGTCACTCACCCAATATTTAGAATTTGTAGTTTCCTCAGATAATTGGCCATTTTGACAAGAAGAGTGACACAATCAGCTGTCAGATACTTTTCATTCCTGACTTCCATGCCAAAACTGACATGTGGATATTGGAATAATAATGCGTTATCTTAATTAGGTGTATCTTCATGATACATGCTTTATAACAGATAGAGCATATGAAACTACTGCAATGCCTTGCCAGGGTATCTTTGAAATGAGATTCCCTACTTAAGAGTTTTTTTCCTTCTTAAATAAATAAAGAGCAAATGAACAATTGCAGAGTCCAAGTCTGAATCTTAGCACTTCCTGTTAAACCTCACAAAATAGTGCAAGAAACATGTTTGGTCTGCTTTCTAAGGCTTGATGATGTGATAGGAAGGATGTTGTATGTAACATCAAAGAATGATGTTGTTATACCTCTGAAGCCTGACTTCTGGAAGTCCAAGTGAAATAATGTATGCTCATTTTTCTCCAGAATATGGCAGTTTTTAATAGGCTTGGATTCTTATCAGAAATGTTCCAACTATTTCCTTCATTGTGTTTGTGTGTGCTTTTTTCTTGACTATCCAAATTTCTCTCACACTTTTCGAAGTTTTGTTAAGTGACTCCCTGCTGGGTTTAGTTAAGAGTGGTGCTGAGCAAATTGCAAGCTGCCAAAACCAGCCAACAAACCACTGGTGATGAGCAAATGTTTTTGCTCTTTCAACTCATGGTGAATGTTACTGTTTTCTTAATTCCAGCATCATGTTCAAGTGGAAAATGGCGAAGTCTGGACTACAGACCTGAACACTGTTTTGGACCTGAGCAAAGAGAGTCTGGCTGAGGATCAGGGTGGATCATAACTTTCACGCTTGCTGTCTATATATGTTAGGATTAAAGTCTTGGGAGTATTCCCGGCCCAGTGATCTTTCTTGAAGTAGACTTGTTGGAGCTGTGCATGGTGATCTCGGAGCAGAATTTAGATCTGTATATTTATGTCTCTTAGAATGATTACAGACCTTTTTTGTGAAAGACTGTAGAATGTGAACCTTTAGAGAGTTTTGCAGAATGAAGTGTGTAATGCACAAAAGGTAATTCATAGGAAAAGACTGGATTAGTTTCTTCTCTATACCTTCTGCTGCACTGAATATATTCTGAATATATTGTGTTTTTCTCCATTTCCTCCTCCAAATGTAGTCTGAATGGAATAGGTCTTGCCTGTTGTAGCATGCCTTATTAGTGTCTTCTCATAATTGTCCTCAAAACCAAGTCCATTAATTTCTATGCTACATGTCCAGGTGATGGCATGCATGTGGTAGGAGGCCTAGGGAAGATCAGTGACTTTCCCTGGAGGGGAGATGTGAGCCCAGGGCAAGTGTTTGCTCAGCCATTAGCTCTGCTGCAGTGTTGCACTTACCTTAGTAATCTGAAAGAGATTTTATTAAAACCAAAGCCAGTCAGACATTAAATTGAGACAAATAAAGTTTCAATAGTTATGAATACCCAATTCATTCTTTGTCCTGTGAACGGGATGTGCTTTAAAGGTGGGAGCAGGTGACAGACTCCTAATATTTCTGGCTGTGCCACTAATTTCCTTCAGAACGGATGCTTTTCCACAAGTTATACTCACATAGGCACACTTATTTGTAAAAATCCCTTTGATAATCTTAGATGAGAGACAAAAGCCATTGAAAAAAATGCAGATTTCAAGACTACATAGTGAAACAATTGACCATTGCAGGAGAAAGGGGTCTTCTCTCTAATGTTAACTTGCGGGAGGTGTAAGTGATAGAATAGTTTTCTTCAAATGTGTGCTCCAGTTCTGTACAAAAATGCAGAGGTAGATTCTCACAGCATATCTTCCTTTAAATGGTATTTCATAATAAAGGACTTGAACCTAGCTCTTCCATATCCAGTCCCTAGGACCTTTTGGATCAGGCAGGCATGTTTGCTTAGAATCATAAAGTCATGGAATTATTAAAATGGCAAAAGACCTCAGTGTAAGCCCTCTGCTGTGGACTGCTAATAACACCTTGAAGCAAACTAATCTTTCCTAGGAGACATTTATGTTAAAACTAGTAAATCCCTATAACATGTTTTGGTATGAATAAAATAATATTTTTGGACACAGAAATACTCAGTTAAAAAATTCCAGCTTATACTTGGTGTTCCAGTCACAAAAGCCACTTGGTATGTTGTTTATATTTTTTCTGATGCCCTAATGAAGATTAGGTGTCTGCTCTCCTCTGAGTTCATCAGGCACATAATTTAGCAGTGTGTTGCGCAACTTTGTACTACTGTATTAACTCCTAGCTCCTAGCTGTAATCACAGAATAGGGCTAGCACGATGTTAAGTATGCTACAAACCAAAAAGATCTGTGGTGGCCCCCAGGGTATCTGTTATCAAAATATAAGTTAAAAGTTGAGAAGCGGATAGTATGAATGGAGTGTGTGTGTACGTGTGAGTGTAGCAAACAAATACTAAGATAAAAACTACAACTTTATGTATCTTGCTTGTCAAGGTCTTATCTGTGTAATGCAGAAAGGTAGAACTCTGAAGAAAGGTTTGAAATTATAAATTAATTTATAAAAATACTCATTTTAACATTACTAAGTCAGCAATAATATTGGATGTCTTAATGAACTCTAGAGTGCAGTACTGTGAACGAAGCTTTCACTGATGATTTAAAACAGGACATAATATCTTGGCAGATCTTATTTTAATGTAGATGTTACTTAAGAAGGATGAGGGAAGCAACAACAGTCTACCTACTTGCATCTAGATAATTGTATTTGCTTATTACAGGTATTGTCTTGTTGGGTGCAAACTACACAGTTCATGAGCTGGTCCTGCTAAGGACAAGGTCAAGGAGAGGTCAAGAACATGTAGGATAGGTGATGTCTTTTAATCTAATATGCCAAACCTAAATGAGCAAACATCTGTGTGATGCTGCTATTGCTAATGGATGTTTAGGAAAGCCAAATGTGTGGTCAGCCCAGTAATACCTTAGAATCAAAGAATAACTCCAGTTGGAAGGGACCCATAAGTAACACTCCTGATGCAGCTCCATTCCATTTCCTTGCATCCCACTGCTGGTCACCAGAAAGCAGATTAGCACCTCCCACTCCACTGCTGTCCTTGGGGAAATTGTAGACTATGATGGGTCCACCCCTCAGCCTTTTCTCCAAGCTGAACAAAACAAGCAACCTCAGCCACTGCCCTTGTCCTTGAGGCCTTTTACCATACTGGTTGCCTTCCCCTGGACACACTCTAATAGTTTGATGTCCTTCTTAGCTCAAGAACCCAATCCTACACATAGGACTTGTGGTGTCATCATATCTCTGATGCTAAAGCATTGTGTACTTGCTGTTTAAAATTTGCCCATTATAATGAATGTAATCATCTGCTCTAACTTCGGGTTAAGGCTGTGCATACTGCTGGAGACAAATTATGAGTCTTTGTCCCCATCTCATCCTGTCTCCTATGCGAAGGTAACCTCTTTTCTTTCAGCTCTTTCCTGGTTTAAAAAGTATATTTGGGTGATTTAGGATGAGTAGTCCATGAAAGAAGAGATTATGTAACATATGTGGTTGAGATAAAGAAGTGATCAGGTTCAACTTAAATTTAAGGATGACTAGAGACCTTACAGGGACATAGCTCATAAACTATAATGCCACTAAGAGTCTGGAAATTGTGAAAGACTGCTGGTAAAGAATTCCTTTACTCAGACAGGCCATAACAGTCTTCTCTTTCTCAACTTCTCTATGGATAGCAGAATTGTTATAATATTTAATTCGCTATGGGATAGCACCTCTCTGAATGATGAGTGTTTATAACAGCTTTCAAACTTGAAAAGCATGTAGCATTCTTCCCCTTGACAGATGACCAAAGGATTTTTAGGAATAGTAAATGTTAAGCGTAGTGGAAGAAAATTGTGAGTTTCTAAGGCAAGACTAGTATTGTAGTTTTAGGAATTTATACAGGCCCAGCTGGAAAGTCATCATGTGTTACTGAAGCTTGGTCTGCACATGGGAATGTGGCTGGCAAAATAATGTTAAGGAGCAGGGCAGTTATGTATGATGAGGTGCCAGTACACAAATAGATATTCCTATGGAAAATGGCTGAAGCTCAGCTGATGGCTGATACCAGTTTTGCTGCACATTTCTGCACTATGCTAGCACGTAATTACCACTTAGTGTGTGAATTTTAGCAGCATGAAAAACCTCACCCCTAAGCCAATGCAATTGACATTGTCTAAACAGAGATACAGTTACAGTAAAGGAAAACAAAAATTTGTAACTGAAGAGTGCTCTAATTTCAATTGCTAATTTAAGTCTTACTGGCAAAAGAATTTATAAAGTTTGGACAAGTTCTGCTGGAGTAGCTCTGCTAGAAGTCTTTTGTTAGGAGTCAAACTGGGAGTCTTTTGAACCTCTAATTTGCTGCACAGAAGGAAAGAGAAATGCATTCTTGCCTTTTCCAGATAACAGTGGAGAAGCTGCCCAGTCTGTTGCACCCAACCATGCTGCTAAATCGCTACACTACAGATCCCTGGTATCAGCAACTCTTCATCAATCTGGTAAGGCTGAAGCCAACTCTAAAAACAAACATTTCCTCCATGAACAATATGTTTGTTATATTTTCTCATTTGTTTATGATGGCTGTGTCAGCTGCACTGATTTACATAAACACTGCCAATCCTGGGACGTTGCATTCTCAACAAAAGTAGCTGAGTACAAACAGCATTCCGAAGTTTTAATTCATATTGTATAAACATAACAGATGTTGATAAAATGAGCCAAAAAGAAAATACAACAAAGGAGACCATTTCAAGGGGGCTTTTGATTAAAATACATTCCAGATTGACAAAATGATACAATGTTAATGGAATAGATCATTTAAATGTCATTATTTGGCTCTTATAGTCCTATAAAGCAAATATAAAGCAACACTTTTGAGATTTAAACTCCATTACCGTACAGTGCCTATACATCAACTTATAAATAAAACTATATTTCTTTTCCCTTTCCTTTTTTTTTAATGCCTCCTATGACATTGCCACATTTATTTCCTAAATACTGTACTAAAATACTGGGTCCAAAAGCAATAATAAGTTTAGTATACAGAGTAAGGCCTAAAATAAATATATTATAAACAAAATAAATGCAGTTTCTGCCTCAGTGAATTTCCAGTCATTGAAACTGAGATGGGTGACACTGAGAAATCCAGGTCAGAGGCCTAATTCAGTTGGGTTTTCTTTAAAAAGATATAAAATCTGCTCCTGTTAATTCATGTGTAAAGATGATGAGACTTAATTTGAGATCCATCTGGTCTAAATACCTTGCTTTGAGAATAGCTAGAAGGAGAGAAAATTTACAAAACCTGCAATGCTCCTAATATGCACTATCTAGTTTTGTTTGAGAGTTTTCTTTTAATAGATGGGGGAAATGAGGTGGAGAGAGGACACATGGCTTTCCAAAGTTCAAGAGTAGGTCATACATGGAAGTAGAAGCCAGCTCAAACTGAGGCCCAGCCCAGTGCTTGCGCCTGTGGGCCACAAAACTTTTTTTATTATGGGAAACCTATGGAATTCGATTACATTTCATGAATGTAATCGAACCCTGAAGCAACAAAGTTTACTCTCCGTTTCAACAACTTGTTATCATCACTCACAAAAGCTCTGTTTCTGATATCCGTGCAAATAGCCATTTTGATTTCCTAGGTGCAATGATTTCCTGCGGCAGTGATTTCTACAGCAAAACTACATGTGGTAAAGGAAGAGGAAACCTCTTTACTTTTGATTTGTTTTCTTCCTCATGTCTTTGGATGCCTGGTCTGTTCTTTAAATGAGAGAAGGAGAAGAGATGTGCCCTTCTATGCTGTGCATTTATTTATGTTGTTTTATCATGTCTTTGTTTCACGCTTCCTCTTTCTGGGCAAGCATAGCATTGAGAAGCACAATACACCTTCTTTGGCAGAACTGGCCAGGTCACAGGAATAACACTGTAGAATTATGGGAAAAATAAAGTCTTAGTGAACAACTACATACTCTATAAAGACCAGCTTGGTTGACAATAAAATGACCTTTAACTCTGTTCCTATCAGGAAACCATTAATGCCCTCATAGTTTTCAGTCACCGGAGTTTAGTACTGGTAAGCCCACTTCTCACACCTATGTGATTCTTTCTCTTCCTTGCAGCCTGTGTTTCTACATGAATTGATTTTTATAAGCGTGTACTACAAAATATTATAGGCTGTCATAAATGGCTGTGTAATGAGATAGCAGCAATAAAAAAATTTAAAACTTAATAAACATTGGGGTCACTGACTATTTTCAAGCAAATCTTAGATCAGAAAAGTCTTAGACTTAGAAAGTGGACCTCAACTTTGCTTTTCCAGTCTGTGAAATTTGAGTGCATTCCAGTCATCACAATTTATTTAAATTGAACCTTATGGTTTACCAAAAAATAAAGTGGTTATTTTACTATGGTATTTCCTGATGCTTTAGGTATAATTGAGGATGTGCAGCAGGGGGAGAATCCATGTTCTTATTGGATGCTGTAGAACCTGCAGAACCAAATGTTTGGAGTGATCAGCAGGAAGGACTTGATGCCCTTCCTGCTGGAAGAGAGGCTCAGGCTCCAGCTGGCACCACAGAGCCCTGATGCCCTGATGTGAGCAGCCCCTGGATGCAGGACCATGCATGACTTAGGCTTTGTCACTTGTTTTGGAGCGCATGTTCTTCTTCAGGAATACATAATCAGAGCTTTTCCACCACATTCCTTGCAGAGAAGACATGCTTAAAAGGTGTAGTATCTTGACATGAGAGATTGTAGCCCCAGAGCTATGTCCCTTCAGCTGCTTGGTGACTGCAAAATTCACAAATTTAAATGCTTGTGAGACAACATGGGAATTCACATGTTTATGGAAGACATATAAAATGTGAAAGATGGATGTCAAGAATGCTTTTGTCATGCTGTGTCTATGTCTCTTGAAAAAGACCATAACAATCAGCAGCCGCTATGTTGGCAATGCCTTTCAGTGAAGACTAAATCTTCAATCTCTGAGTATCTGCCTATTAGAAAGAAAAATGTTTTAGATTTCCTCCAATGATTTTGATGTTTGATTTTGTTCTGCCAAATACCAGAAGGATTCGCACATTCCTACATTAAAACAAAACACGTATGAAGGTATCCACCACTATTAATGTTATAATGAATACCAAGGAAAACTAGTAATAATTTATTGGTTATAAAAACTTGCCAAAATTCCTGAAAGTGAATTTCTGGTATTTGAATCATGCAGCTCTGACTCTCCTATAATTCAAAGATTTGTTGGATGTTGTCTAGTTTTCCCTTTAGGAATTTGTCTTTAATATTAATAATGTTGTTTTTGTAGCACCACAGAGAAAGCACGGCACTTTAAAATTGAAGAGTCCAGTCAATACATACAACTGCCAGCCCAGAAATGCTCAAAGTCACATGAGACAGACTCTTTAAATGATCATTTTAAATATGTCATATGCAGGATAAGAAATGCTCTGCAAATCATCCATCTAAGAGATATGGACACGGATGTTTATTTAGATCCCGTTACAGTTCGTAATCTTTTGCTCATCACTAGCATGGTCATTGTCACTATTGAACCATGCCTCACTCACCTACCTGGAAAATGCCAAATTCTTCTTGAAGGAATTAGGGTTTGTGTGATAGCAGAATTATCTAGAAACCCTTGGTGATTTCCTCTTAAGGCAGTGAGAATCTCTTCTCTTGATAAGCAAATCTACTCTCGGGAACATGGTATGACCCTTGGGGATGGTGCTGTGCAGGACTGGGGATTGGACTCGATGATCCTTGTGGGTATCTTCCAGCTGAGCTTGTTCTGTATGACTCTGGGAGTCTAAAATCTGAGTAACCTTGCCATGAATTTGCATTTTTGGTTCAAAGCCCATTTCTGATTTCCTTTTCCTTGATTTATTGAGTACACAAAGTATCACCTTTCTAAGACTTGAGTAATGTAATTTTTTTTTGCTTACCATGTCTGTGGCTAAATGACTCAGTACAAATTGTAGTTGGGGTGTTGTTTGCAGAGCATGAGAGCTTGAGATAGCCAGGATAACAGTAACTTGTTACACAGCTTTGAACTGGTCACGTCAATGCTTGGCATATCATTTACTCTGCCATTAAATTTGGAACAGTGATGTGAATCCACCACAGGTACTATGAAGAGTATATGTGAGAAAGATGTTGCAGGAATATAAACTTTTTATAAGAATATTTTAGGCTGCCCAGTTGTAAAAATCATAGCAAGTTTGCCTTTTTTTTTTTTTTTTTTTTTTTTTTTTTTTCATTTTAGTACAAGTGTAATTTCTAAGCAAAAGTTCACACAATTTACATGGAAGTTCTCATAACTCTGTTGGGAACTGGGTGGGGCATGGCATACTGCATTTTTCCATACATTAAGTATCTAGTTTCATTGCTAGATGAGGGTATCTTTGTTTGGTTAGTTTATTTTGGTTTTTTTTTTTTTTGTAATGTATATGTGTTTGTGAAGACACACATAAAAGAATTCTTCCCAGGACTGAAAGAAGCCACTCCTTTATATTCTGGACTCCAGTGAAAAATTCATCACAAATGATAATAGCCTTATACAGGATAATACACTAATATAGGAAAGTGAAAACGGATGAAATTGGTAGGAATTTTTTCATTAGTATGTCATTCTCATGATCTTTATATAGAACAGGCCTCTAAGGAATCACAGTAACATGTAGTCATATAATTTGACTCTTGGGCACAAGATACTTGTGCCCAAGTACAAGATTCTTTTTGTCTGCTTTAGTGTATGGTAAATATTCTGCTATTTCTTCATATATTTTGAACTAAAAGCTGGATAGAGCAAATATGCTATTTTATATAAGATACAGTTTATAAATTTTCACAATTTTTTAACCCAAACTTCAGTGACAAAGGGCTTCACAACAAAATTCAAGTATTTGGCATTATTTTTGGCCTTCACTACATATCTATATCTTTCATCTCACTCTCCATTATGATGATGTTTTCTTAACAATTCTCTCCCTCTTAAACTGAAATGTTTCTTAAAGCACAGGCAGACTGAGCTTTCGATCTAGGATTGAAGTACAGTTGTGCAAAATTCCCAATTCAATTAGGAAAATTGCCTGCACATTAGAAACCCTACATCATCTAGGTATTACATATCCCTATGACCGAACATAAACTGTTGTGGGAAACTTTTTCTAGCATGCAGCTTTAATGTATGGTTTTACAGGTATCCTGCAATGTCCATCATGTAACATTGGTTGTGTTTTTCCTGTCATGTGATACTCACATACTTTAGAGTTAATTGCCCAGTGTTTTCAAACAGCCTGGTTTATCACACTGGAGAACCTTTCAACATTTGTTTCACAACTGATTCCTTCTTACATTTTTTAAATGGGATTTTGTCCTTTAATCACATTTATTTGCTGACTATGAACAGAAAAACCTAAAGGAGGGAAGACAGATTAAGAAATTATTTGTATCTACTTTTTATAAAAATGATGACTTTAAGGATTCAGGGACCAGCATTGCTAAAGGTACTGGTAATATGACATGGTCTATCATACCTCAAGGATCAGATAGCCTTGAGCCAAAAATCTAAATGCTAATGGAAATGTAGCTGTGCTCTGCAAGGGTAGTGCCTGAAAAATCACTGATGAGGAAGTGCTGCAAAATGTTACTGTTGTCTCTGCTGCCCCTATTCACATAGCTTCAGCTAACAGAGCTGTCAGTGTACCACTGGTGATCATGAAATCACTTAATGAAATGAAGTGTAACCAGCTCTCTACTAAAATAGTGCTTAATTAAGTGTGACCATCAAGTGATGGGAACCATAGTAGTATACAAGGGAATGCTTGTTCATTCCTGAAAGGCCTATTAAAGTAAGAGGAAATATGTGATCAGCACAGTTGTCTGAATGTCTAACACGGTATGGCATGGGAATGCCAGCATCAGAGTTCAAACACACGAGGAGTTACAAACCTGATTTATTTACACTATATGATTGTAATCAATGCCTAGACACTTCTGAGGAGCCAAAGCAATGAAATGGTTCAGTAACCTGCAGTGTCTCATTAAACTGGTAAATTTTGCTCGACTGAGATCATAGATCATAGACTGAACATTCTGCCACTGAGGATACTCCTTGCCCCCGGACAGCAGAGAAACGAGGCAGTATTGCCAGCTTCTGCATATTTTAGTTTAAAGGGTTAGAGAAAGGAATTTATATTTTTGTGAAAAGACCACTGTAGATATGAAGTCCCACAGCTTTTGCTGTGGTGTTGCTATAATTGCCCCTCTTATATATGCTGGAGCTGAGATGTGGTATATGAAGTAGCCTACTGAGGACTGGAAAGTGAATCTGTGGCAGAGCTAAAAGAACTTCAGACTTCTAACTTCTTTACTTCTCAGTATTAATCTCTTTCTTGCAAAGTGAACCCAAAAGCTAGCCCTAAGAGAAGGCAGCTGTATGACCTCCATATCCTCTCACATTCTGGTACTTCTGCCACACAGAAGTATTTCTAGTGGGATAGGGCAGTCCCTAGTATACAGAGCAAAGCCACCCATGCAACAGGCAGGACTGTAAGGACTGCCCCTGTGGAGCAGGCACTGTAGTCCTGTATAATTTCTCTATCTCCCATTGCGAATACATCCTGGAAGTCTCCTAAGACATGCTGGGCCAGCGCAGCAAAGGATGGGACCACTGCTGAGTCACTGCATTGCACATGCAGAAAGTATGGCTTTCTGTGAAAGCATGAGATGTAAATAAATAAACAAGACTTCATCTCTCTGGTATGTGTGTATATGTATAGATGTGAACATGTGCATGTGCATACATACAGGTGAAAAACCGAACCCTTTTTAAACTATTGTTTGTAATTGTAATTTAGGAGACAGGCAAAACGCTGGATGAAGATACATATTTCCTTTGAGAAAAAAAAAGAAAAGGAGGAGTAAACAAATTATGCGTATCTGGACCTTGATTATCCTAAAATTATACAGGCTACTACCTATAGAAACCTTTTTAATCCTTCAGGAGTTAGCAGTAGGATAAAGATTACTGTTTGTGCAAGTTAAAGTCTGAGAGCAAGACACAGAGGTATAACAGACAGAATCAAGGGCCCAAGAGAGCAATGTCTTGCAGGATATACACATAAGAAGAATTATTTTTCTCATATGACAACCACAGCATAGAATATAAACACTGTTCACAAAAATGACATGACATTTTTTAATCAGCCTGGGCAGGTTGTGTCTCTGACAAGGATCTTTCCTGCATCTTGCTTTAAGGTGATGAACATCTGAAAACATCATCTCTTTGAACTTAGAAGGCTGAGTCTCTGAGAATTATGGAATTTACATTAGAAGGATCCTCTGGGGGTCATCTAGTCCATCCCCCTGCTCGAAAGAGGTCCAGCTGGGTCAGATAGCTCAGGCTATTCAAGCCCTTTACACCCTCAAAGATGAAAAACCCATATTCGCTACTCCAGTATTGGACCATCTTCATACTAAAATTTTTTTCTTATACTTAATTCGAGTTTCCCATGCTACTTTTTAAGTCCATTGCCTATCATTTGACACATACAGGAGAATCTGACTCTGTCTTATCTGTAGCCTAAGGACAGGTAGTTTCCGCAGTCAGGTCTTCTCTGAGCCTCCTCTTCTCCAAGTTGAATTGAATTCTCTCTAAGCACCTCCTCATATGCCTGTGCTCCAGCCCCCTGACCAGTCTAGTGGCCTGCTGCTGGATTTCCTCCAGTATGTCAATGTTTTTACTGTACTGTGGAGACTTCTCTTCATCCCCAAACTGACTTGTGCAGGTATCATGCTAATCTTCTCTATCATTCAAGTTTTAGCTTATATTCTGCCAACAAAAGCATGATTTCATTAGAAGATAAGCCGGAATATTAATTTTTTTAAAGAAAGAAACTTGGGGACAATTGAAATGTAAGGTTTTTAACCCATTGTTATCTTCCCCTCTAGTAAGTAATGTGTTCTTATGTTCTGGTCTTTTTCTCAGCCCACAGTTTTCCTGCACTGATAGGAAGTCTTCACAATCCCCTCTCAGGATCCTGAGAGAAATATTTACATCAACTTGGACCCTTGCTTATGATGTCTTTTCTGTTTCTCAGAGCTCTCCTTTCTGCTTCTGCTGAAGGCTCCTACTCCTTGTGTGTTTCACCACTCTGTCAAGATTTGTTCTTCACTCTAGAAATCTTTTCCCCATGAAATTGCTCAACTGCTCTTGGAAAAGCACAATTTCCTCCTCCTTCCCAAAGATGCCCCCTGAGTACAGCCACATTGTTGTCTGCTGTCTCCTGAAAGGAACACAATGTCTATTAGCACAGAGTTGCTTCAAATGAAGAAATGAAGAATTATACACTCAACATGTTAACAGAAATATCCACAACATTGTTATGAAAAGTTAGTCACTAGGGTCTGGCTGTGATTTTGGAAATTACTCAGGGTGGTTTTATAACAGTTAAAACCTGTAAGGTGCTGTGTGTGAGGCTTTGGGGTTTGGACGTATTTTTCCACAATTCTTTACATTTGTCAGCAAGAACATACAGTTCCTTTGACAGTAGGACTTGGGTGGGCAGATGGCTGCTGGATGCTGTAATAGGAGGTTGGCAGCACCCAGAATGATAAACTTACTTGTCAACAGCCTTTCTGGCTTTCTTAGGACAGACTGAGCTTTGTACCTCTGCAACTTGTTTCCCATGTAGTCCCTGGTAATTTTTTTCGTATGGGTTAATTGATTTTGTATTTGCTTGCTGCTTTTATTATGTCTGCTCAACATGGAACCCTTCTCAGCACAGAAGCTCATTTTGTATCTATTATTCCCTGTTTTTTTTATGTTGCTTCCCTCAGTCAAAAAGAATTCTTCTTAAATTGTTTGCATGTTGGTGGCAAAAGAGATGGAAGACCAAAGAAAATAAAGAAAAGATCCACAGTAAATGTTGAAAATGGGATCCATCCAGTGTGTGGCATGGAAAATAAGCTGCAAGCACCACTAGGGAGATCTCCAGTTGGGTGACTGCAGCATTACAAGTCAGAAGAGTTTACAAAGCACCTCAAGAGGAAGCAGACCTGTGGCTCCATCTGCATTTGGTAAAACCCTTTCTCTGCAATGCAACCTACTGGCTAGGGGGAGGCCACATCAAGGCAATCTGCAGTGCCCTTTTAGCCCCTATGTCTGCATTTCCTTCCTATGAGTCCAAATTATTGTGTAGGATTGGTGGTCACTAAAGTTTCCTATGGCATGGATTTGGGATATTGCTAAGATAGGTGCATGGACCAGCCTACTAAAACTATTCTTGCGTACTGCAGGCCAGATGCCTTTAATGTCTCATAGGTTCATAGTTCATTTGTGGCTCTTCAGTATTCTGAGCATTTGCACTTTCTCTCTCATAGAGCACCCTTTTATTTCCTATTAGTTCTGTATTAGTTGCAATGCAGTTGTACTAACAGCATTTTTCTACAATGAATTTCACTATTTTCTCTCCATATTTCTGCTCCCTTCCCTTCCCTTCCCTTCCCTTCCCTTCCCTTCCCTTCCCTTCCCTTCCCTTCCCTTCCCTTCCCTTCCCTTCCCTTCCCTTCCCTTCCCTTCCCTTCCCTTCCCTTCCCTTCCCTTCCCTTCCCTTCCCTTCCCTTCCCTTCCCTTCCCTTCCCTTCCCTTCCCTTCCCTTCCCTTCCCTTCCCTTCCCTTCCCTTCCCTTCCCTTCCCTCCCCTCCCCTCCCCTCCCCTCCCCTCCCCTCCCCTCCCCTCCCCTCCCCTCCCCTTTCCCCTTTCCCCTTTCCCCTTTCCCCTTTCCCCTTTCCCCTTTCCCCTTTCCCCTTTCCCCTTTCCCCTTTCCCCTTTCCCCTTTCCCCTTTCCCCTTTCCCCTTCCCCTTTCTGTTGGCATTATTTCTTCACTCTTGCTACTGACTGCTTTGCATACAAATACATTTATTTGCAGAAATTCAGGAAATTTTGCTTGCTTTACTTCATGGCCAAGATATTGGCATAGAAAATGAATCACTTTTTATCTCCCCTTGTTTTCCCTTGTTCCAAGGTAATTTTTTCAGACTAGCACAAAGCTTTGAGTGCTCCTGTTTTTCTTTTTAAAATAGAGGACTCTGAATTGCCATTGCCTGGCACTGCAGGCATGGTCAGAGGGGTTGCATTTCTTGCTCACTCACTGGGCTCAGAATACATCTTGTTAATGCTACTCAAGGCAAGCTCACGGTTTGTTGAGGGTGAGACGTACCCCAGTGAATATCAGCTTTTTAATTAGTTTTGTAAATGTGAATGAATCTGAATAGAGCTGCATAAAAGGTCTCTGCAGAAATAAACAGAGCACATCAGGGGCTAAGTGCAGTTTTCCCATGTGATTTATATATTTTAAGATTAGGCCTGGCATTTTGCAAAATGCTGTTTGAAGTTGTTAATTTGGTTTGCCTGAACAGGCCAAAACAGACACAACTAATTGGTTGAGATTATAGCCATAAGATTGTGACCTCTCACAGTGAAATCTCACAATGTATGCTCTTGTTTAGGTCTGTCCTTCTGTGTTTTTTTTGGGGAGGAGGCAGATAAAGAATGTACCATATCACTGAGATAGTGAGGAATACTTTGGGGAGTATCATCCCTATCTCAAGTCTGCTGTTGTTAGTGGGAGGTTTCTTTACTGAATACCTGTCTCCATTCTACTTCTATTTTTGACAGGAGGAGCACTACCAGGTGACTTTTCAACTTTTTATGAATAAAGCCCAGTAGGAAGGCTTTTTACAGCATCAGTGCATCAGTAAGTACAAAATCATTTAATCATGTCTCATACTCCATGCAGTTACTGGCAAACCTGATTCATTTTATGAATAATTTTACTTGGATCTCAGTGAGAAAAATGTTCTTATTAATAGTATGAGCAACAAATTTCCAGACAAAAACATGGAGGAGGGAGAGTATGTATAGACACAGTCTGGGGGGGGATGTGACTTCATCGCACTTCACACGATAAGAGGGTTCACTTCAGGAGCTGGTAACGGGATGGGGACTTGAAAGGCCAGGCTACAGGAAATGGGGATGGTGAGTCAGGAAATGGCAGCCTTCCCTCCGAGTCATCCTTGAACCACTGCCCTGGTGTGCTCAGACTGGGAATTGGATTTGTATAGATGCTGTTCCTTCAGAAGAGATTTCAAACTTGGGTCATGACCATTTGATGTTGTCAAGTGTTACGTGCAGTTTCTCCTTAAGAGCGTGGATTTCAGCTCCACAATCTGCTCTGATCCCTAGCATGGGTGGCTGTCTGTGCTCTGTAGCTGTCCATCTCTGCAGTGGCAGATATTCCATACCTCCTGCCTGGCTTGGCTCTCTGTCCTGGTGCTGCGAGCCCTGTTATGCACCCACCTTGCTTCTTGTCAAAGTCACTGTATGGCTGGTGACGCAGAGGTGTCTTCTGCACAGCTGCTAAATAGCACAGCTGTATTTTCCTGATAAATACACATTACTCTGTAACACTCAGTTGGCTTACCAGAAGCAGAAGTACTATCTGTTAGGGGGCCAGTGGCAGTATATGGTGGTTGCAGGGGCACTCATTAGAAGGGTATGTGGGGTGAATTCCTTTGTCATTATCTGTATGTATCTAAAGAGGCGGACCAAGAAGATGGAGCCACACTCTTCTTGGTGGCAACAGGCAATAGGACAAGAGCCAGTGGGCAGAAACTGAGGTACAGGAAGTTCCACCTGAATGTGAGGAAGAACTTCTTTACTGTGCAGTGACCAAGCACTGGAACAGATTTCCCAGAGAGGCTGTGGAGTCTGCCTCACTGGAAATATTCCAGAACCATCTGGATGTAATTCTGTACCATGTGTTCTAGGAAGACCCTGCGTGAGCAGGCAGTTTGGACCAGATCTGGTCCCTTCCGAGTTGATCCAGTCTGTGACTGCGATTCTGTGTCCAGGCGGGCAGGCAGCAGCAGGGCTGAGGCCGCCGGTCAGTCAGATCGCAGCTGGGAACAGGCACCTCAGCCGGAACGCGCCGCGCTCGCACCTCTTAACTCGCCGCTGTAAATTGACAGAACGGGGTTACGCTTTGTACCGAGTTACGGCCCAGAGCAGCCTGACGGCAGCCGGGGCTGGCGGAGACCCCCGAGCGAACCGCGCCGCCGGGGCGGGAAGGCGCCACCTGCTCCCGCCCCCCGCTCCGGCAGACGCCGCCCGCCGCCTCCCGGCGCCTGGGCCGCGGCCCCCGCCGGGCCGGAGCTGCCGCCGGCCGCCCGCGGCGGCGCCGGGCGGGCCCCTCCGGCGGAGGCGGCAGCGGCAGCGCCGGCGGCGGCCGCCAGATGCCGCCCTGCCCAACGCCTTGGCGGCTGCGGCTGCCGCCCCGCGCCCGCCCTGCGCGGCCGCCCGCGGAGCGCCCTCCCCGCCGCCCGCGCCCGGCCGCCGCCGTGTCGCCTTCCCGGGGCGCGACCCCCCCCGCCGCTTTCCGCAGGAGGCTCCCTGTCCAGCTCCACTCACAGAAGCTCGGAATTGTCATGGTTGGAAGGAGCCTCTGGAGGGCATCCAGTCGAAACCCCCCTGCCAAGGAGCGTCCTGTAGAGCAGGTGACACAGGAAGGCGTCCGGGGGAGTTTTGAATGTGTTCAGAGAAGGAGACTCAGTGACTTCCCTGGGCAGTCTGTTCCAGTGCTCTGCTGCCCTAAATGTGAAGAAGTTCACAGAACCACAGAATATGCTAGGTTGGAAGGGACCCACAAGGACCATCCATTCCAGTCCCAGTCCCTGCGCAGCACCGTCCTCAAGAGTTACACCATGTGCCTAAAAGTGTTGTCCAATTGCTTCTTGAGCTCTGTCAGGCTGGTACCGTGACCACTTCCCTGAGGAGTCTATTCCAATGCCCAAACACTCTGTTGCAGTTTATGGTCATTGTTCCTCATCCTGTCAATTGCGCACCACCAAAAAGAATCTGGCCCCATCCTCTTTTCATCTGCCTCTCACCTGCCTTTTCATCCCTTCTCACTCTTCTCTGGACTGAACAGACCAGGTCCCACAGCTCTCCTCATAAGAGAGATGCACCAGACCTCTCATGGTCTTGGTGAAATGGTTCTACTGGGCTACAGGCAGGTTGGGGGTGGCTGCTAGTGACACTGGGTGAGGCAACTAAATTCAAGCACTCAGGACTCTGGCACTGGCCAGGATTCAGCAAGCTTCTTCAGGGAGAGCAGAGCCACCGGCACTGGGGTTATCTTATAGTGACAGAGGGATAAGTGCCAGCACTGAAACCCAATGCACTCTGTTCATTACAGGTGATGATCTCTAATGATTTTTCTTCAAGACAAACCAAAACCAAACAGCAAGTAACTTGGATGTTGAATTTCAGTAGCAATTGACTGTGTTGCCCTTTTGAACCTTGTGTGTTTTGGTTTTCTCTCATTGAGCACTCTTCTTAAAAGAACTAGTACATTGATTGCATGGTTTTTGGGAGCGAAACTGTCTGAAGAACACAGCCCTGTGCTTTAACAGCTGCTAACTGTGTGCATTCATTGGGGAAAAAGTCGAGAGCAGTTAGACCACACTTCCAGACTGGCTCTCAAGGAGGCCAAGGCCACTGAGATTTTGGGATTATTCATATTTCAAAACTAGTTTGAAATACAAAATTGTTTTGAGGCTAAAGGAATGTAAACAACTGTCACATGTAGTTGTTGGGGATTTTTTATGAGAGAGGTTTGTATTACTTAAAAATTGCTTACAATTGCTAATTTAGCATCTGCATGGAATGCAGTATTGTCCGAACTGCTGTATTTGCAATCAGAGCTGATAGCAAGCACAAGCACTTCCTGCACAGCTTCTTGTCTGCAACCTAGACTGACCCCATGAACAGCAATTCAGGGTGAACAGTGTTGGACTTGGATGCTTTCTTCCGTTATTGCTGGTGTGTTAAACCTAGCAAAACTGCTTGGCTACTCTGCTGAGCTTGCCACATAGTTCCAGCTACACTGTAAACATCTGTCTGCCAACTGACTGAAGCCACTGTGTTCATTTTGTGCGGACTACTGAACAGCTGTCAGATGGGAATGACTTGGGTTATCCCATGACTTAACCAGTGTTCTAGATTCAAGAGGTTGTGAATGCTTTTATCCTTCCTTGACTTACCTGTTTTTTTACTAGATCCTTCTGAGCTATATGTTTTCAGTCGCTTAGCAGGCCTCTAAATAATCCCCAAGAATATGCTGGATGTCATTCTCCTACAGAGCTCAAATAGGTTAGACAGGAGCATTGAGTCCATTGGATCACTATGGATTCACTCAGCTCTTCTATGCATCTCTTGACCAGTAGAGTCCCATCTCTTAGAGACTTTGTGATACTAGTTTTGACAGGATGCATTTTGTGTTCAAAGTTATGTCTGAAAACCATCAAACTACAAAAAGGGGATTTTCAAGATGGCAGTAAAAGCAACTGTAGTGGCAAGTGAGCTGAGATCTCTGAGAATGTTATTCTAGCATCATGGACGTGTGTGTTGCTTTCAAGGTGACCGTAAGGTGTGACTGAGAATACCTGTGCAATTAAATTACTATAGACTTGGAAGTGTTTGGTTTGGAAAAAGAGTGCTTTTCGCAAATGTGAGGTATGCATTTAGCACTCACCAGGCATTCTGAAGTTAAATGAGAATTTCAAAACACTTGATCCTGCAAATCAGATTGCCCATGTATATGAAGGAGCCTAGGAATGCTCATTCTGAAGTTAGAGAAACAGCCTCATTGAAGACATCCTCATACAGATGGTTAGGCTTCAGGACATGAAATTTGGGATTTATTTGGCTGAATACCCATTGTTAACTTCTGTGAGTCATCCAGACTGTCTGAACTTCTCAGATTGAAAAAGGAAGGAATGAGCAGGTTAAAATATGACAGAGCTTCTTGTCTTGCCTTGAACAGAAGGAGTTTACAAAGACCTTTTTCATCTTCTCCTGATCAAAGCTGAGTTCAGTGACTGGACAAAAACAGTAGAGAAGATGCTGGTTGTGGGACGCCATTCTTGCCAAACCTTTTCAGCCTCCAAGGAACGCTTATTTTGGCAGAATGTTAAGCAATGCTTTTTGGACTGCTTTTTACTTGGGGAGGCTTATGGGAAAGATGCTCCTCCCCAGGCACTGAACCATAAATATTTGAGTTTTATACAACCAGAATTCCTGGGAGTAGACACAGAATAAGTGACAAAAACCCTGAGCTTTTACCAAACCTGTGGAATTCATTTCAACTTTGCCAGGTGTTTGGCTGTAAGACTGTGAGGTCCCATATTTAACAGCTCATATACTTTGCCAATAATATGTGAAGTGTTTCATTATCTTGTACACTGTAGTTGGCACACAGCAGTTTGCAGACAAAGAGTGATGGTTTATGATATTTGTGGATTCCATACGCAGTTGTAGGCATTAAATGATGTGTGGTGTATGATAATACAAATATATAAGAATGAAAGAGTTCACATAGCAAATATAAGATACTTTCAAGTCTCTGATAACTAAAATGATAAAGTGCTAAGTAACATCAGTACTTTGATTTTTGTCTCCTTTTATAATTGCTCAGAATATAAAACAAACAAGAGGCATGCCTTCAGCTCACCCAAGCTGTTCAAGGAGTACTTGGGGCAGATGAAGAGCTAATTAATTCTGAGACTGCAAAATAGTCAGAGCTTTTTAGGATATTTATCCTAAAGGCCAAATCTTTCACAAATTATAGCTTGATTTAGATGGACAAGGTTATGGGACCAATTGCATACAACTGCATATTCACCTCAGTTCCCAGTATCCAGTGAAGTATTTTGATCAGTATTGAAATAATTGCTGCAAGATTCTGGTTGTAGTTGTATGGATTTTTTTTCCCCTGTGGTGTTTTCACTGTTTGCTGAGTTTTAATCTTTCCAGAAAAAAAAAAAAATCAAACAGCTTGAAACTTTACTTCTAAGTAAATCTTTGATTGAGCAAATCTTTAATGTGTTGATTTGCAGCATAGCAGTGAATTTAAGTGCGCCTTTTTTTATGTATAATAAATGTTGTGCTGAGGTAGGGTCCAGGGATGAAAAGCAACTGCCTATTTACACCAGCAACTCCCCAGGCATGGGAATCTTGTGTGTTGCAAGAGTGGTGATGTTTTCTGTGGCAGTGCTTGCGGCAGCCTGTGTGGTCTGCCCTGCTGGCCTTAGCAGCCCGTCTGAACTGGCAGGGGCCAGCAGCCGGGAGACCTTGGTCCCTGGGTGAGCCCTCCACCAGCCCACCATGGAGTCACGGGGCTGCTCCCCAGCTGCAGTGAGCAGGGCAGCTCGGGGAGATCTGCTCTGTCTCACCAGTTGTAATGCAGAAAAGAACAATTCTGGGTATCCAGAAGAGTGAGGAGAAAGTTTGACTGTGAAAAGCAGAACAGGGAGATTCTTGCTTTCATGTCTTCTTCAAAGACTTTGTCAGAACTTTGGTGTGCTTTGTGGTGGTTCTGCTGCTGCTTAGGACCTATGACAAATGAACTTTTTTTCAGAGAGCTAGTGAACCTTTCCATGTGAGCAAGAAATCATGTCATATGTCTCATGCTGAATTTCAATATTTTTATTGTTCCCCCCTTGAGGTGTCTCAGAAATATGGAGGATGATTTAAATGAAACTTTGATTGTCATTTCTAGTGAATCTTCTGTGCTATAAACACTGAAGGAAAAACTCAAAGGCTGTTCCATCCCTTGTGGGACTGAAGTCTGTTATTAGTCATCTGACCAAGAAATGAGAACAAGATAAGAGTAACATTATTTATATGTATCTAAATTAGTAGATTATCAGTAACTATGTGAAATTTAACAAAGACAAGTGTCAGATTGTGCACCTGGGAGAAGGCAATCCTGGATGCACACCCAGACTGGAGAATGAGATGCTGGAGGGCAGCACCGTAGAAAGGGACTTGGGGGTCCTGGTTGGTGGAAAGTTGAATGTGAGCCAGCAGTGTCCTGGCAGCCAGGAGGGCCAACCCTGTCCTGGGGGCATCAGGCTCAGCATGGCCAGCCAGGCAAGGGAGGGGATTGTCCTGCTCTGCTCTGCCCTGGGGTGGCCTCACTTTGAGTTCTGGGGTCAGTTTTAGGTGTCACAGTGTAAAAACAATTTAAAGCTATTGGAGACATCAGTCAAGGTCTGTGAAGATAGTGAGGGGTCTGGAGGGGAAGCCATACAGGAGCATCTGAGGTCACTCGGTTTGCTTAGCCTGGAGAAGAGGAGGGGAGACATCACTGCAGTCTGAAACTTCCTCATGAGAGGAAGCAGATGGGCAGGTGCCGATCTCTTGACTCTCATGACCAGTGACAGGACTTGAGAACATGGCCGGAAGCTGAGTCAAGGGCAGGTAGGTTGGCTGTCAGGAAAAGGGTCTTCACCCAGAGGGTGGCTGGGCACTGGAACAGGCTCCTCAGGGAAGTGGTCTCAGCAGCAAGCCTGACAAAGTTCAATAAGTGTTTGGACAATGCTCTCAGGCACATGATCTAAGTCTTGGGCTTGTCCTGTTCAAGGGCAGGAGTTGGACTTCCATGATCCTTGTGCTTCTTTTCCAACTCAGGATATTCTATGATAACACCTGCTTAGATGCAGGTAGGTGGTCACTAAAATTGCA